GAGGCAGTTATTGCTACAGAAATAGATTGCCCAAGCTTCCTTCCAAGGAAGGGCTGGTGGGTTTGAACTGCTAGCTTTCTGTTAGCAGTCAAATGCCTTAGGTACTATACCACCAGAGGTCCTTAGGGTATCCCAGAGGGGTCAAATTGACTATGGCACCAGCAGCCTTCACATCAAAATAAATAAAGAGAGTGAATGTGTGGGCGAGCACACAGGTGAGCGACAGCCCTGGTGGTACAGTGGTTAAGTGCTAGACTGTTAACTGAAAGGTCAGTGGTTTGAACCCACCAGCTGCTCCATGGGAGAAAAGACATGGTAATCTGCTCCCATAAAAAAACCCTAGGAAACCCTATGGGCTAGTTCTACTTTGTCCTTTAGGGTCCCTATGAGTGGAAAATCAACTTGACAGCACACAAAAAACACAAGAATAGACAGATAGACAGACAGATAGATAGGACCTTAAAGAGAGAGGTGGATGATTGATAGGTAGGGAGAGAGATCTACTGCTCCTGTCTCCAAGCCTGAGGCCAGCTCTAGACAAAACTCTAGACTCCACAATGGGGTCCCAAGGCCTGGCACAGATTGACCCTTAACCTCCCAGCACAGCTCCACCTATGATTTGTTAATTTCATTGGAGACTGAAGCCTGGGGGGAGGGTTCATCCCCATTTGGTCTCCAGCCTCCCCTAGAGGGACCCAGTGTGCCCCTGAGGTGGAGAGTTCCCAGGGACCCGCACTGGGCCCAATTCCCACTGCTGCACTTACTGATATTCCCTCCAACTTCATAAAGGAAGATGTCAGCTGACTCCCTGGACCTGTTGCTGCAAAACAGAGAGAAGAAAACTGATGGCTTCTTGTTCTGTCAGCAGCAAGACCAACAACTGCTTACAGACCCCAGGGCTGGCGTGAGTGGTCCTTATAGGGCTTTGGTCCAGGCAGAAGAGTCACAAGGACCCTCCTGAGACAGACGGAGTGAAGGAGCCCAGTGTCTATGATCAGGGAAGGGGCAGCTGGAGGGTACTTGACAAGGCCACAAGTCCTTCCCCTGGCCCCCCTGGGCATTGGAATGAAGGGCTTTGAGGTGGAGCTCCTTCTCTGGCATTAGTGTTCCCATTTGTGTCTTGGTTCTCTAGTGCTACTATAAGAGACACACTGAGACAGGCAGGGAATTGGGCTAGCCAGGTCAAACAGGCACTTGACCCAATACTCTTGGAATTTGAGCCTGCCTGCATACCCACACTCTGGTAGCATAGTGCCTAAGGCACTTGACTGCTAACCAGAAGGCTGGCAGTTCAAACCCACCAGCCAGTCCTCAGAAGGAAGACTGGGCAATCTACTCCATAGTGATCCGCCTCGGCAACCCAAGGAGGGGTCGCTATGAGTCGGGATGGCACATAACAACAACAACAACAGCATACCCACATAATTCTTGCTCCCGGCTGATGAGCCAGGTCCTTAGGCAAGATAAGAAATTACATTCCAAAAGACTCCACAAGCTTGACCACCATAAATGCTGATAAATCTCCTGAGTTGTCCTTCTAGCACCACCCAGGTACAAAGCATGTGCAGTAAAAATCAACTCCACTGACAAAGCACCCTTCCACCAGAGGCAGTCAAGAGCAAAATTGCCTTGCTGGGACTCGAACCAGGGTCCAGAGACATCACACAGGTGCAACATCCCAGAATAAGTCATGGCAACATCCCAGCAGCCTTCGTGATGGGTTCCATCTTTGTTCACACAGCCTTTGCGGTGGAATCTACCTTGGCCATCTCCTGTGTGGGCACCTGATTTTCATAACCCCACCTTTTTCTTGGAAATCCCTTCCTACCTTATGAATAAACTCAAAACTCACTACCATCGAGTTGGACCCGACTCATAGCGACCCTAGGGTTTCCCAGGCAGTATCACTATGGAAGTAGATTGCTCAACCTTCCTTTCAAGCAGTGGCTGGTGGGTTTGAACTGCCAGCCTTCTGGTTAGCAGTCAAATGCCTTAGGCACTATGCTACCAAGCTCCCTTATGAATAAAGAGGATGCCTTATTCCTATCTAAAACCCTTTATAAACCCTAGGAAATTCTTTGTTGGGAGAGAGACTGGAGGCTAGTGTAGGCGGAAGCCCCTCTCCATCTCTCCCTCATGAGCCCCTCCCTTCTCCTCTCTCTTTAGTAAACTTTAGTTTGTGTGGACATTTTACCTCTCCTGTTCAATTCTTTGTCAGTAGAAGGTAAGGACTCTTGCTCAGCATCCCAGGGACCCCGGTAACAAGCTACATGTGGAGAGCTTTGTTGCTGTTGTTGTTGTTGTGTGTTGTTGAGTCGGACCCGACCCATAGCGACCCCTCCTTGGGTTTCCGAGGCAGTATCACTACGGAAGTACATTGCCCCAT